GCCGGGCTGCGGGCGCTCGGCACCGGCCCCGCGCGGCGCTCCGAGGCGCTGGCCGGGGCGCCGCTGGACACGGCCGCCAAGGAGTACTCGCCCAAGGTGCGGCAGCTGGTGCGGGACATCGCGGGGCTGACGCTGCTGGAGGTGGCCGATCTCAACGCGCTGCTCAAGGTGGGTGCGGGGCCTGACCCGACCCGGCTCTTCCCGGCCTGACCCGGCCCGGCTCGGCCCGGCCGCGTGCGCCGCCTGACCGGCCGCCGGTGCCGCTGCTCTTCCCGCAGGAGACGCTGAAGATCCCGGACGTGGGGGTGATGCCCACGGCGGCCGCCGCCTCCCTGCTGCCCGCCCAGGCGGCTCCGCAGGTACCGGGCGCTCCGGGAGGGGCGGGAGCGGGGCCGCGGGGGTCGCGGGGGCGGGCTCGGCCGCGGGGCTTCACCGCGCTCCGGCTGCTTCCAGGAGGAGGAGGAGGTGGTCCCGCTCAAGAAAGAGAAAACTCATTTCACCGTGCGGCTGACGGAGCTGAAGGCCGCTGACAAGGTGAAGCTGATCAAGGAGGTGAAGAACTTCGTGCCTGGAGTGAACCTCGTGCAGGTGAGGAGCTGCTGCCCCAGGTTCTGGTGTTTAGCCCCAGGTCCAGCAGCCTCGGCTCTCTGTTCAAAGGGGAGCCTGGATTTATGCATTCAGAAGCACAGCCTGTGTGCATCTCAGCGCAGAGACGTGGGGAGCAGGATTTGGCTGCGCCTTCGTCTGGCATTTTCCGTTGTCAGAAGCAGGGGGATGAAGGAGGAGGCTCAGAAATGTCTGTGCCAGCCTCAACTTCTCCAAACCTGAGAGCTGTGTGAGTTTTCTTGCAGAGCTCAGGAGTAGCCAGCATCCCTTGCTGCAGCTGGGTTTGGCTTGCCTTTCCCAAAGGCAATGTATTTCTGAAGTTAAATGAGCCTCTGTAACTCACACATCTTGCAGTCCGGGCTTCCAGCTCTTTTCAGGGCCCTTCATTTTGTAGGTGGTGCTGCTTCTGTCCTTGGAGGAGATGGGCCTCAGTCCTGGGCAGTGTCTGAGCTCAGGCCCTTGACCTTGGATGTGGGCTCAGCATGTTGGGTGATGAAGCTGCTACTGCTGAAGCATGTAATGTGCTGCACATCTCCAGGGTGATGCTTTCATAACTTGGGGTCAATAGTAGCATTTCCCAGTATTCCAGCGTTGAGCATTGTAATGTCTGCTCCTGTTGTAGCCCAGGATAGCAGAAGTGTTTGCAGATAATCTTCTGCCCCCCAATTCTCATTGCTGCATTGTAAAGCCAGCAGAGAAGTCAGTGGCACAGGTACAACTTTGGCTGTCTCGTGGGGGTAATTTCCTCACTGTCAGTGTGGTTCCTCTGGAAGTTGTTCATCTATTATTGGTCCCAAGCAAACATGAAAATACCAAACCCTGTGATGGACGCAATCAGCAGATAATTAACTGGAGAGCTGATGCGAAGGGAGCTTGGCTTTGCATGTGGCACCTGCTGGATGAGCTGTTCGCAGTGCCAGTTACTACAGCTAAACTCAGGTGGGATGTACCCAGGCCTGGCATGTTGGGTGAAGCACAAACACACAACACAAACAGCTGTGGAGGTTCTGCCTGCAGAGACTCTGTTCAAGGCGGAGCCAAAGCCCTTTTATTGTAAACTTCACTGCCGTCCAGTAAGGATGTTTTTTACGAGGTTTGCTGGTGGATCTGCCCACAGCCTGTAGGGCTGCTGGTGGTGTGGAGGGATGCACATACAATTATTACCTTGGGGACAGGTGGGACCCAAACATCAGTGCTGTGGCAGCAGCTGTGTGATGAGACAGGTGCACACAGGGCACCAAGGCTGGCTGCACCTTAGGAAGCTCATGGGGAGCTGCCCAGCAGATGCTTACCCTGTCACCACCAGTCCTGGGCTGTAGCTGGACTGGGAGCCTGCTGCCTCTGCCCCACTGCTGCTGCTGCTGCATGGGTCCCACCTGGCTTGGGCTCTGCTTTTCTTCCCACCAAACACCAGAAACAGCTACTTCTCTTGACCAGGGCTGCTTTAGAACGGAGTCACACCTTCCTGAGCAGAGTTCAGAAATTAATAACCTGTGTTGTGTTGCCTGTGCTCATCGCAGTGAGCCTGAACAGGCTCCTCTCCAAATCCTGTCCTGGTGAGCAAAGGCATTCCTGCCCCACTGCTCACACATCTGTGCCTTCCAACCCCAGCAAAAAAAGCATTTTTCTTCCACCACAGATACATAGGCATTGAACCCAGCAGGAATCAAAAGGACAAACATTTCTGCCAGTCCATTGGGTGCTAAACCCCCGCAGTGCTGTGGCAGAGAGCTGCTGCATGTGAGAGCAGCAGAGGCTTGTCCCCCTGGGCTCACTTCCTTCTCTATAGCAGCACTGCAGTAAATTCTTCAGATTAGCTCAACAGTTTTTCAGCTTGCCTTAAGCATTGCAATGCTGCTTAGTAGCAGTAATTTTGCTTTAAAAGTCCCTAAAATGTCAGAATACTGTGTTGTCAAGTAGTCTGTGCTGGAGCTCTGTTTTAGGCAGTGCAGCTGTGTCCACACCCTGCACTGGCCTCCCCTCCTGCTGGCACAAGAATGTGAACCAAAACATCGTCACTGAGCAGAGCCAGCCCAGCGCCAGGCACCTGGTGGGAGAATTTAAGGAAGAGGTTTCCCAGCAGATGTGTCATTGCTTGTGGTCAGGGTTAGCTGCCTTCCGGTGGGACGTGCTGTACTTCAAGTGCAAGTCTCGGGGTTTGTGCTGGTCAGTGAGTTTCCACGGTTGGCTTAAGCAGAGGTCAGGATCATGGCTCTAAATCCAATAATCCAGTTAGTGAAAGCCTGTTTACAAGCCCTGTACTTTGTCCCTCTCACAGGCAAAGAAGCTGGTGGAGTCCCTTCCACAGGAGATCAAGGCGAACGCCTCCAAGGAGGAAGCAGAGAAGATCAAAGCAGCACTAGAGGCAGCGGGAGGGACTGTTGTTCTGGAGTAGTGTCACCATGGAGAGACTGGTGCTACAGCTGCTGCCCAGGCGGGCTCCGGACCTTTCCGAGTGCACGTGGCACAGTGGGAGCGCTCTCCCAAAGAATGCTGTATGGTTTGGCAGAGCTGCTACCTCCTGCCATCACCATGAACTCTACTTATAAATACCCAAAAAAACCTGTAAAATTATTCATCTTTCTCAAGTGCCGATTGTCCCCGTGCTCCCCGTTTCATGGAATCAAGAGTGGTTTAGGGTAGAAGTGACCTTGAAGGATCATCTCATTCCAGCTCCTTGCTATGGGCAGGAGCTCCTTCCACTAGGCGAGGTTGCTCCAAGCCCCGTGCAGCCTGGCCTTGAGCGCTCCCAGGGATGGGGCAGTCACAGCTTCTCTTCACTGCAGCCTGTGCCAGGGCCTCACTGCCCTCACAGACAAAAATTTCTTCCTAATGTCTAATCTAAACCTACTCTGAGTTTGAAGCCATTTCCCCTTGTCCTGTCACTGCACACTCTTGTAAAAAGTCTCTCTCCATCTTTCTTGTAGGCTCCCTTCAGGTACTGGATGTTTGTACCAGCGCATCACCCACCTCCTTACTCTGCCTTTTGCTGATGTCTCACCTCTGTTAATTATTAACGAGAAGAACACATTTCCACAGGTTGTGGAGAGGCATGCGGGGTGGGAAAGTGTGTTCTGGAGCTGTGATTGTCCCTGCGCTCAGTGCGTGCACACTGGTAACGCTGCCGTGTGTACCTGTGCTCCCGCACCTCTTCCCTCTGCCTTCGGCTCATGGCTTCACCTCCCCATTAATTAGTCCCTTAATTATTAAGGGGAAGAGCCTTCCGCGGGCTGGAAATGGGGATGTGTGTAGGGTAGGAACAGGGATTCCGGAGCCTGTGGTTGCCGCGGTGGCCGCAGGCTCGGAGATGCGAGCCCCGGGCCGGCCCCACCCGCTTCCGGTACCGGGAGGGGGCGTGGCTTAACGGAAGGGGGCGTGGTCGTGTCCCGGTGAGGGCGTGGCTTGTGGCAGAAGCGGCGCCCATGGCGGAGCAGCGCGTTTCGCGCTGGTACTTCGGCGGCCTCGCGTCGTCCGGGGCCGCCTGCTGCACGCACCCCTTGGATCTGCTGAAGGTGAAGGGGGGACACGCCGAGGGGCGGCCCTGGGGCGTGGGGAGGCCGTCCGAGGGGATGGAGGGCGAGTGTGAGAAGCTGGGAATGACTGCGGTGCTGTGAGGGGATGGGGAGGCGGTTACGGGGGACCGGTGGCTGTGAGGGGACGGTTATGGGGCCGGTGGTGGTGAGGGCTTGGGGGGCGGTTAAGGGGAGCAGGCATCGGTTGTGAGGGTCCCGGACAGGGTGTGAGA